TCTTTAAAAGCGTGCAATCTGTGCCCAAGAAAGTAAGAAAGAAAAGAACTCCAAAGTCTTCAAATTTACCTTGACAGCTGAGATGGAGATTTTTGTGGCACCGCGTAAATGATTTCAACCAGTCTTGTCTTCAAAATGATTTTCGCGAAGCGTTTGACTCCCATTTGGCTATATAGTGCACGTTTTGTGACTGATTTACCATCTTCTGAGTCTTTACAATATTCATTCAGCCTATCTGATTTAACCTGTTTTGAGGTGTTACATATCTCGTTGGATTTTACCTTTCTTTGTTACGCTATTACCTTGTGAGCTATTTCGCTCCTGGTTTGGCTGCGTGAATCTTATTAGCGAAAAATTAAATTTTATTATTTTCGTGGGCACAAACTGGATTTTCAGCAACAATTTTGTGTCTCTAGTTGATTTTAAGACTTGAAGCCCTTTACCTTCCTGTTTAGTATTCTTTTTGCATGTTTAAAGAAGGAAAAACCAACTATTTCGATATTCATTTCAGGGTTCGGCTGCGACGGATGCAATTTTGATTTATGTCGATAACTTCATGTACTCACGCAAACATTCTCACCTTTGTCCCACCTACTTCCAGATATATGATCAGAAGACGGTAACACAACTCAGGTAACGGAAACAAACCTAGTGGGGGAGGCAGGGTTTAATCAAAGTTGTTTTGCATAAATTAATTGTCTGACAGATAAAACTGAAATCGGGTGAGTGAGTAGATAAGCAAGAGAGTGAGCAAATTTTAGGTCCATACGTTAACCTCACAGTATGACTACGTCACACCATGATGTAAAGTGATAATTGTATAAGTTACGAAGCATTGAGCAAAGCTTGAATTTATCAATGTCACCTACGAATGAGACTGTGGAAATTAAAATGTGATATAGAAAAACAGTGTGTTATAATTTCTCACATTGACTCCACGAAATTTTTGCTACACGGAGTAAAGAACCAAAAATCGGCAACTGGATCGAGCCAGTTGGTGGCGAGTGCGGTTTCATGACTAACAGGATTAAACAAAGGAATCTACCAAGTCTAAATCAAAATTTAAAGGACCGTACTTATAAAAGATGTGTAAAAACAAAGAGGGAGAACAGAGCTTAATCATTATCGTAAGGAACCTTAATTGTATGATTAAAACGACAATAAAGTCAAACAGTGACAGTTAATTATATTATAATACAGATCAACTTGGGTTCTGTGAGAGATCTGCTCAATTTGATCACCTCAGAGGATCCGGATTTGCGGAGATACACAGCACGCTTCTTTTCCCAACAAAGTGTTTGTTTTAAATCAGTTCCAATCCCATTTCTCCCTCGCTATCCTCATTCCTCCTAGGAAAAATAGACTAGTTTTGACTGCAACGGCGAGTAGAGGTGTCTTTAAAAAGGTTTTTTTTTTGTTACACAAGGTAACCTTCGGGGTGGAAGAGTAGAAGACCACAGAATGATGTTTACTTGGCATTTGTACTTAATGCAATCATATATTCAAGCAGTACTCTACACATATATAACTTATTACATGACGTCTTGAACCCTTTACACTCCAATATCAGAATGCATATTCTCCAAACTGTTCTCTATATATTTCCTTATGTGCTGGCAAGGAGAATTTGTTTAACAATCAAGAGGTTCCTCAGTCGATTATCATTTCCTTTATTCTCATGACCTTAATGTGTGACTCAGGGGTGATATTGAATAGAGAAATTAGATGCTAGTCACTCTCAGGGATTAAAGTGTTATTAGCTGTCCTCAGTGTGTAGGGCAATACGGCTTGAACCTCATAAGCCTGGGCATGAGAACAAAACCCCGACAACAAATATCACTTCGAGTGCTAATATGACACATGGTTAGCCCGGGATGAGTTGTGCGAAAGCGAGGCTTGTCAGGCCTTAGTGTTTTGTTTTCATAAAGCGTTCTCTAGAAGCGTCTCACATATTTTCCATGCATCTAATTGGTTTTATACTTGTATCCTACCAGATATAGGCAGGATGAAATCTCTCATAGGAGAAAATTAAACTCGTCATTTTCTTAATTTCCCTGTTCGCGTTCGTATCTGAGGAGATAACAGGGGGCGCTGCGCAATTCGTCGAGCAGAAGAAGGAAAGGATTTTGTGGCCGTTGAGAGAAGAAGATATTATCTCTACATTATAGGCAAGAAGATTTCAGGACATCTTTCGACAGGGAAATTGTACCTAGTAACGACAGTGATTTTCCTACACAATGTACTTGGTCATTTTCTTCTATTAAAAAAAAAAAAAAAAGGGACATTCTCGTGAACTAATTCTTTTGCCATATTGGACTGGAATAATGGAATATATTG